ATTGATCAACCAGATGATAATGGACACCCTCCTTTTTAACACAGCACTTGTTATCTGCTACTTTCTAGCAGTAATTCAAACAGTTGCCTCACTAATAGGCAGACTGCTTGAAATTCAATAGTAATGTCAAAGAGCCTAGTGCTTTCATTTAAATGTAAAAAGAGCTAATGGAACAAAAAACTAAACTTTAAATTGATCTCACCAATTCTACTTATTGTTGCAATGGAAACACTGGGTTTTATTCTGAGCATTGTGGTTCATCAGAGACCTCAGCAATTCTTTGATGCAATACTTCAATCAATTCAATGCAGAGGATGCTCAAAGAGAAACAATCCATCAACGACATTTAATGAGTAAAAGCTATCTTTCCCCAGGTCAATGTCATAACAAATGGCTTTCAACTGACTTACATTTGAAATAGCAAGGATACTTTCTGTTGCTACCTTATTTGACAGCTTGCAGCTGAGTTTGTCTGTTCCACTGTGTCAGCTCCCCTCTCTCCCCTCTGGGTAGCACTCTGGTATTATTGGAAATAATGTAGTGATTATAGCCAAGGTGAATTATTTAGAATGGACTGGGGCAGGCAGAAGGGAAGCAGTATGAGAAAAGATGATATTGGTGGCATTGAAATACAGAACAAGTGAGTCATGGAGAAAGGGATGGCCAATAAAGATGAATACAAAAATGAAATGAATGCCAGAATGGCGCAGAATGTCTAAGATGAATAGGGGAAAAAAGGACAGAGGGGGCGTAATGAAAGGCATGATGAGGATCTTTTTTGGCCACAAATATTAAGATCTATACTGGGTATAGACTATGGAAAGAGAAAGAGTGTGTTAGGTGGGGCTGAATAAGAGACATGGTGCATTGAGATGGCGACAAACTGCTTATTTCTCTCCTCTGCCTCCCTGCTGTGGATGTAAGGCTGTTGCAGTGGCCTTTGGGCGCCAGGCTGTTCTCAGCATGAGAACCTCCTAGCAATGTGCTCCCTCTGTGCTGTCAACGTGACGCTGTGCGCACACGCACACACACACACACACACACACACACAGGCAATAACACAAGAAAAGGAGGTAGAAAGATGCACACTAACAAGAACAAACTAATGTGTGTGTGTGAATATTTGATTGTGTAAGTGCAGGGGCCTATCCCACTTTCTTAAATCTCTCTTTCTCTGAGACATTAACCTCAGTGTTGACTTTTATCAATTATTGATGAATAAATGCATCCTTCCATACCTTGCTCCTTACCTTCTATATATCTTTTATCAATAATTCCATTTCCATTCCTGTGTGACTACCTGGGTCTGCCAAATCTTCTTCTTGGTTTATTTTGTCCACGTACCCCACCGACAGATGCTGTCTCTCTCTCTGATGTTTGTCTGCCTGGGTCTCCACTGTGTCATAGCAGGAGAGAGGTAAAGGCCCCGGAGCTGACAGCAGTTCAAAGGAATGGCAGGCGGTGTGGTCGCAGGTTCCAAAATAACCTCTCCATGTCCCCCTCAGATCCCTGCTCCAACATCCTGACCACCGGTAAGAGGAATATTACATAATATTACAACTTTTCTTTAATAATCTACCTCAACAAATCCCTCATAACCTAAAGCTTACTTATCTCCTTAACATTTTATTTGAGAAATTAGTTGAGACATTGTCCGTCATTTCTCATTTGCCTGTCTTCAACTTCAGCCCTTTTTTTTTACTAAAAACATAATAATTTCCTTGGAGATTGTATTTGTTTTAACACATTCCTCCAACAAGAGTAAATAGGGCATGTGCTGCCAACTACTTTATAGCAAGAATGTCTGGCAGCAGGATGGTTTATGTGGGATTGACTCCAAGTAAACTTCAGTGTACATTTTTATCATGAAGAAATCACAGTTTCTTTTAAAACGCCAACTCGAAATGAGATGGCGTTTTTTTCCTAAAGACAATTCTTTAATGTTAAGCTTAATTTATTCTTCTTACTTTTGTTGATAGACATAGCATCATATATTGAGCCTGAAGGGAAACAAGAGTGAACCCTTACTGTCAAATAACAAATTATTATACATACAGTATATATATATATTTTTTCACAATATATTTTGTTCTGACTCCTAAGGCTTTTGATTTCTCTATACAGTTGCAAGAAAAAGTATGTGAACCCTTTGGAATGACCTGGATTTCTGCATAAGTCGGTCATAAAATGGAGGAAGCCACTGCTGTCCAGAAAAAACATTGCTGCACGTTTGAAGTTTGCAAAAGAGCACCTGGATGTTCCACAGCACTACTGGCAAAATATTCTGTGGACAGATGAAACCAAAGTTGAGTTGTTTGGAAGGAACACACAACGCTATGTGTGGAGAAAAAAAGGCACAGCACACCAACATCAAAACCTCATCCCAACTGTGAAGTATGGTGGAGGGAGCATCATGGTTTGGGGCTGCTTTGCTGCCTCAGGGCCTGGACAGATTGCCATCATCGACGGAAAAATGAATTCTCAAGTTTATCAAGACATTTTGCGGGAGAACTTAAGGCCATCTGTCCACCAATTGAAGCTCAACAGAAGATGGGTGATGCAACAGGACAACGACCCAAAGCACAGAAGTAAATCAACAACAGAATGGCTTCAACAGAAGAAAATACGCCTTCTGGAGTGGCCCAGTCAGAGTCCTGACCTCAACCCAATTGAGATGCTGTGGCATGACCTCAAGAGAGCGATTCTCACCAGACATCCCAAGAATATTGCTGAACTGAAACAGTTTTGTAAAGAGGAATGGTCCAAAATTCCTCCTGACCGTTGTGCAGGTCTGATATGCAACTATAGGAAACGTTTGGTTGAGGTTATTGCTGCCAAAGGAGGGTCAACCAGTTATTAAATCCAAGGGTTCACATACTTTTTCCACCCTGCACTGTGAATATTTACATGGTGTGTTCAATAAAAACATAAAAACATATAATTGTTTGTGTGGTTTTAGCTTAAGCAGACTGTGTTTGTCTATTGTTGTGACTTAGATGAAGATCAGAACACATTTTATGACCAATTTATGCAGAAATCCAGGCAGTTCCAAAGGGTTCACATACTTTTTATTGCAACTGTATGAGAGATGATATGTGTAAGATACATTTCTACAAGTTAGTATTGCTCTCTTTTCTCTGCCCTTGTCAGCTGATGTCCATCTGTTTGGAAATGGCTGATCTCTTGATATCAATGGAATATTAACACATTTACATTGCTGTTGGTCATTCTGATGATTTAGTACTGTTTTGTCTACAGGTGTGTGCATGGAAGATGGAGAGAACTGGTGCTCTCAAGTCAACAGGCTGCAGCTGCTGCTGGATAAGCTGGAGTGTCAGGTGGGAAAATATTTTTTTTCTAAATAATTTATTTGGAAGAAGGATACAAATGAAATCTGACAGGTTAGGCCCCGGACCAGAAGGGGCCCCCCAAAGAAGGGAGATTAAGAAGGTCCACAGCAACGACAACATGAAACACCCTTTAATTTACTGCAACAACATGTCGGGTAACCCCCTCAAGGCGGCCCCATGCATAGCGCGCCGTAAAATGCTGCTTCTTCGTTGCCTTGCTCCGCTCGGGGGGTGGAGGGGGGGTGTGCTGTCGGCTGTGCGTGGTGATGATAAGCTGGTTCGAGGGCCCCACAGGTGAATGTTTGCCTCGGGGCCCCACAGACTCTAGAATTGGCACTGGGAGCAGGTAGAGGGAGGTGGGAGTGGGACAGGGATTTTCCACAGGCTATGTGTTCATAGCAAGTTCATAGCCATGCCAGTTCATTGAAAAATGTATAAGACAATTTTGCAGTATAAATGATGCAGAGAATATGCAAGTAAATAGTAATGCATTAGCATTTTGAACAGGCACATATGTATTAATGTGTTGACTACACAGCTACAAACACATGGATGGACACATGGGTTTCACTTCAATGGTTCAATGTTTACTTGTGAAAAGGTGTCAGCTTAGTGCTTGAATGCTTTCAGCTGTGATAGAAACGACAGCCTCTTTGCACAGACCTTTTTATGTATTTTCAGTTGTTTAGATACATCAACTAGATCCAATATTGTACACTCAAATTTGCACTGCCAGGATAATTCATATTGGTTTGTAGCGAACAAAAGAGCAGGGTGCATTTACAACATGTAAAAACCTCGTATTTCTCATTCCATTCTTGCTACAAGGTCTCAAATCCTCTATCACACTCTCCTGCAACCTCTTCTGCTCGATCTCCTTTCTCTCTGTCTGTTCTGTTCTTTATTAACTCCCGTTATTCCCATCTTTTGATGTTCATTCTTCCTCCCCTTTGAATCTCTCACAAAGCATTGTTTCTCTCTCCAGCCCTTGCTTCTGCCAACCAACGGGGACTCAGAGTGCAATTTCAAAGCAATTCATAATCTGCAGGATGTGCGGGGTGCAATATCCATCCCCACACTTCAACGTCACCACCATCACACACACCTTCCGTCCATCTCGCTTCCTTCTCTTCTCTCTAAAATTCGACAGAATTCGTTTTTTTTCCTTAAAGGTTATGTTCTCTGTGTACAAACATAGATACACAAGAACCTAACCTTCAGGATGCAAAACTAATTCGGTTTTATTGTATTCCCTGTGTTTCATTTTTCATTAAATCATAAGTTTGAAGACTGGTCGTGTGGATAGCCTAAGGATGTTTGAAATAAATAAATCACGTGTGGTGAATAATAATTTTTTCTCTTGTTTTTCTTTAATCTCCTTTCTTTAGTGTGGCTCTGGCTGACATCATGCCATCATTCCATTACCCTCCTTTTACTATAAGGAATACAATGGCATTATTGAATGAATGGATATAACCTTTATAGCCCCTTAGGGAATATTTCTTGCACAACGGCCTTTGAAAAATGTTGAATCTCACGCATTAACTCATCAGATATTATATAAAAGAGCAAGAGAAAAATGTAATAGGTTATTTCGTGGCCCATGTTTCATCCTTCAATTAAGTTTCATTAAAAAAACAGGCCAGTACTTTTTCTGCAATCCCGCTGACAAACATAGCCTCCTTGTTTCAGGTAATCATTCAATGCAATAGAAGTGAAATATGCTTAAATTAAACTTGTAGTCGCTAACAAATAGGTGTGTGTGTGTGTGTGTGTGTGTGTGTGTGTGTGTGTGTGTGTGTGTGTGTGTGTGTGTGTGTGTGTGCTGTGTGTGTGTTGTGTGGTGTGTGGTGTGTTGTGTGTGTGTGTGTGTGTGGGTGTGTGTGTGTGTGTGTGTGTGTGTGTGTGTGTGTGTGTGTGTGTGTGTGTTGTTGGGTGTGTGTGTGTGTGTGTGTGTGTGTGTGTGTGTGTGGGTGGGTGGGTGTGTGTGTCCAAGGCTCCTCCATGCTTTGTTAAAGTCGCTGGTCTAGCCTTGCCTACATGTGAGTCCCTGGCTCAATTTCAATGTCCACACTGACAGACTCGCAGACTTTGAGGCGGGTTCCTGTCAGTCTGTAAATGTTTAGGGCTGTGTCAAATCGTCAATTGCCTGAGGGCTCTCTCACAGACATTTTGAGCCCTTATTGCCGCTCTGGAGATTTTTGCCTGAGGGAATTACTCACAATCAATAGATTTGACATTATAATACAGGGGGAACCTGGAGGCATTAAGAAAAATGTTACACAAAGAGGACTGCACATGGTTGTTCTGCTTTGTATATTAAATGAACAAACAAACTAATTGGGTTTGTTTTAAAATGGCACATAAAGAGAGAAAAACAATAGGATTCGTTACACATCTAATGTATTCATCATTTAATTTAATTTGCATTTGTCTGCTTAGTAAATTGATTATTTGACAATTTCCTTATGTCCATCTTGATCAAATCAGGCAGTCAAAGCATAACAAAGGAGTTTAAAACCTAAAATTGCCATTGTAAAGTTAAAAGGATAATACCACCACAAAGTGAACTCCATGGCAACCTTAAAATCAGATAGAATAAAATGTTTTATAAAGAAATATGCTTATACTCATGGCACCACTGACCTTTCTTTCCTGAATGTAACAGAGCCAACAACGTCTCCTGCATCATTCATATGTACCTTCTTGTTTCAGGGTCCAAAGTTGGAGCCACTCAAAGAGGATACGCTGGCCAGCACATACAAATCTGTAAGTCCAAACTGATATAAGAATATCTCCTGGAATAGTGACCGGAGTAAAGAAGCAGTGACTAAATGTAGCAGGTATTATTGAGCAGATGTCATGGTCCAGTAGTATCATTTGTTGTCATAACAATCAGATTACAGATGTCATGGCCAGAGGGTTTTCACACACAGGGAATTTGCCTTTGTGTTGGATAAAGTAAGAGAAAATAAAAGATAAAAGCAAGTACTGCCAAAAAAGCCTTATTAATAATTTATAAACTATATATTTGCTATAATTATAAAGTAAAACATTTTGACATTATATCTGATTTAAAATGAAGAGCTGAATGTGCAAACATTCACAGTATAACTATGAACAGTACATATTGAGGTAAAGAATAACTTACTAAAGGCTCACACTCACAGGTATAATTAAATGTAAAAAGCCAGTCATTACAACACTAAATGTTAAGTTGACATTTTACAGGTTCATAAATGTTGCATAGCCACACACACACTGAAAACAGCGACTGTTGCTGATGGAGTTTTTTTGTGTCCTTATAAGCCACATTAACATTTAACAGACAGAATTTCATAGCAATCAAACACTTCTCTGTCTGAGTTATTATAAAGAACAACCCTATCTTTGTCTGAATGTATTGTGGTTTGATTGCAATGATTGTGCCTGACTGCAAATCAAGGAGAGTAGAAACATAGAAAGAACTCACATAATAATGTTATGTTAATGATTATTTTGCTTTTTTTAAAGCCATCATACTTAGCCCTTTCTCCTTTTTTCAACATAATCGGTGCATGTGTCTTTATAAATTACAAAGAGTGGAAAGACATAGTTGAGGCGATGTCACTTTGACACTGATAAGATAAAAGTATAATTGTATTCAAAGTATATCCCCATATATAACCCCCCCTTAATTACATATTTACCATGTGGTCCTACTCCATTAACACCCCGTATATAATCATTCTGATTGTGTACACCTCCAGTATTGACAGTATGTTGACAGTATGTTCCAAAAAACTGACAGCATATCATTTAAAAACAATTTTCATCTGCACTGAGCAATTTATTCTCTCTGAAAAAAGGGCATTTTATCATCCAGTTTGTTTACCTCCCTATTTTAAATCTCAAGCATCATGTCTGTTTCTTTCTCAAAATCAAATTATACCAACGTGTTATGTTTTTGGGCACATTTATGCTCATTGCGTCTATTAAAATCAATATTTGACAAGCTTCAAAGCAAAAGGGCCAGTTTGTGTTCAACAGGCTCACCTTGAGAAACGAGAGAGTAAATACAATTTGGTCTGAGTGGACGCACACAGGCTAAAGAAAATGCTGACTCATGATACACTTGAGTGATGGAAATGAGAGGTGAGAGTGCCAGTAACCTATTGTTAGGTGTGACAGTTATACTACAGGAATAGTAAATTGATTGTCGGTTTTACGTTATTAAACCGGTTGAAAAGAAGGAAAATCATAGAAAAGGCATTGCTTTTTTGTCTTTTTAAGACTGTATAGTAAGTATATAGTGCCCAATCCAAACAAATATTAAAAAGAAAAGAGACTCTACTTGTTACAAAAAGCTCCAGCAGATTTTTGTTTGATAAAGTTGGGAAAGATATGCCTACAAAGTTTCTGCCACGAAGCGATTGACCCTAACATCCACTTTTTACAAACAACATGTTTTGGTAGAAAGTTGAAAATTTCAAGAGATCTTTAGAGATTGATTTATCAAAATGTAACCTACATGGCACATACAACCAAAAAAGTGCCTCGTTGTAATGAAGATAACTAACCTTTTTAGGGCAGATCCAAGTCTGTGGAAACAGTGCCAATAAAAGATAAGCCATAAGACGCGTTCTACTTCCTACTGGTTGCAGGGGTGACTCACTCTTGTATGGAATTGTTGAGAAAAGAAGAAGAGAGGGCAGCAGGTTGATGCGAGGACGCTGAATCACTGCCAGTCTGGGAGATGTGGCTCGTTAGATGGGCACATGAATCAATAAAGGGAGAAAAACTATTTCAAAGCACTTTATTTTTTTCTTCTGTCAGGAGGTCTGTGGACTGATATGGAAAGCAGGTGTTTTATGACACATTTTCATGGTATATTTAGATGATAAGTTAGGTTTGCTGGTAAACTTCAAGAAACAGTGTGAAAAAAACGACTTACTTAAGTTCAAAAACTGATCTGACAACACTGATCAGGGGTCATGGCAACGCATTTAATATAGTGCAAGTATCCTCAGCCATCTGTTAGGAAACCGTTACGTTGTTCATAGCGTTCAAGAAGTCCTTGAATGTACCTACTTTATGTTAGTGGTTACGTTTTACTCACACAGATACATTGACTAACAAAACTGAATGTACTACCAGAGTGCTTTTAAATGAGAGCAATACCAAGTGATGTAATGTTTAGTTATTTATATCTCATCTGCTGTTAATTTGAGTGAGATACAGTATTTACCCTTAGGAAAGTATAATCAGTTTCTTATCAAATGATTCAAAAGTATCCATCTTGACATTATATCAACACACCTTTACCTCAGGGGGTAATGTGAGCCTACTGTCACACACACACACACACACACACACACACACACACACACACACACACACACACACACACAGAGAAACATGTTGTTCTTGACAGCCGTTGCATCATCTCATCATTTTCCCATCTCTCTATCCTGTCTCGTTTCCAACAGAACATCCTGCTTGTTCAGAGGCAAATGTCGGTGTCAGATGAAGAGCTTGACAACTTCCGGAAAGTTCTGAATAGCTACATGGAGGCCACCGCAGCCCACTCTGACAACCTGCAGTGAGTGCTTGTTTTCAGACAACGCAATATATATTTTACAAATTGTGCCAGGCTCTACTGCTGAGGTAGCATTTAGAAAATTGAGGAAAGGTTGAATCAGGGGTTGGACTTGACAACTGAGTAAACTGAGGAAAATGGATTGAAAGCTGCTGTTACTGAAACGTTTCCATTAGCATTGTATCGTTTATGCTCCTCGACTATAATAGCAGCTTTTGGCAGACCCCAGACTGTGAGCAGCTTGATAAAAAATTAATGAAATTGTTTTAATAACCACTTAATATTTTCCCACTGTCACTAACCTAATTACTGAAATAGAGCTAATTTTCTCTTTGATGCCGTCTGCTGCTGTGCTGCAAAAAGCTTTGCCCCTTGCCTTGTTCTGACTTACTGATACCTCCTGAAGGTTTAAACACTTTATGTTTTGCTGAGTGTAAACTCTTTTTGTCTTTGTGTTTTCCACTTGCCCCACTCTACTTTCTTCTCCATCCTGCTGTCAGCGTGTCCGTTCAGAAGCTCCCGGGAAAGCTGTGTTACATAATGTATGAGTTCTGGCAGGACCGTATCTCCTGGATGAGGTCAGTAGTGTGTGTGTGTGTGTGTGTGTGTGTGTGTGTGTGTGTGTGTGTGTGTGTGTGTGTGTGTGTGTGTGTGTGTGTGTGTGTGTGTGTGTGTGTGTGTGTGTGGTCCAAACCTTGTTATTCGAAACATACGGTTATTTTCATGTTTACTCGTTAACTCTTATGCTGCAATAACAGATTTTCCCTTACTGAATATCCCCAAGGGTATTAATTAAGATCTATGTAATTGTATGTAATATTGTTTTAATAACCCCAACTATCCTACACCAGCACCTACATATTAAACGTCCAACACCACTTTTACCTTTCAGAGGGATACCAAAACTGGTGAATTTGGGTTAGGGTTAGTTTGCCTGAGATGGCTGCATTAGTAAATGGTTATGCGCTTCATCTGTCTCACAATGAGGTTCACAAGGAAGGCAGGTAGCAGTAGCACTTGTTTGGTGGGTTAGCATGCTATCATTTGATCATTAGCACATAAGGTACATATGGGAATATAGGGGTTTTTCTAAAAAGATATTGCATGAAGGCACTTCCGGTCAAAATTAGGGCCCTGCCCACTTGATGGTGAAACTAATGCATCAGAGCGAAGCGGGATATAATCTTCATGTCTTAAAGCTGCTGAGTCATATATTGCACCTCAAACAACAAATACACCAGTTATGGTTTCTTTACTTCCTCTACAGAAAAAAGGAAAACAAACTCAGAAATCTCAGTTTCAGTGCAATTATTCTCCGTAAAAACAAAGCTGTCTCTCTGCCGTTTGATACTCTCATTTCTGAAGTAATTATACCGTTTTTGAGGAACAGAAATATTGTTTTCTGGCATCACTATAACATTTGACGGGGAAAATCTGCATTTTTCTATGAGGGCGCAGCGCTCCTGTTACCCGGTGCAGACTAAACCCTGGGAATATATTTGGTTGTAGTTCAAATGTTGACCGGCTGATGGAAGTCAAAGTCAACTGTTAATAATTGATTTCAGTCTGGACTCACCGACTGACAGAAACTAAAGTAACTATCTTTATTGTAACTACAATAGTTAAAATTAGCTTAAGGATTGGGTTTTTCATTATGGTTTAAATGTTTTAAGATACAATTTATTCAAAGTTAGCTGTAGGAGCTTCTGGTCATGGTTTAATGACACGAAAAACCGTATTATATGAGTTTATAGCGATTCCAATCCATCCATCTAGCCTCCTCAACTCTGCTTTCATTTCAGCGCCAAACTGCTCATTTCTCAACAAAACGTCCAATTATTCCTTCGGTGGTAAGAAAATGGGATTTTAAGCCACATGGAACACAGTCTGAATTCTTTAAGGATTTGCGGCTCTATCTCACATTAAGGACCTGTCATCACTACGATATTCAAGAGTTTTGCTCAATTTAACTTTTGGGCTATTTCTAAGGCCATAACATTACCTTTAAATGCTGAAACTGAGACCCTGGATTCCCGTGCATCTTAAGGAACTGGATCAGATTTTTCAAACATCATATGGGAAAGACGTTTACCATAATCCGGTTTGGGAATAAGAGAAATTGGATTTCCACAGGCAGATTTCTCCTGGAGGAAACCCATACATTTTGGAGGTCATTGAGTTTCTGATCTTTTTACTACCTAGAAACTGATTTGATAAGATCTTATTTTTAAATTGAGTAGGCAATGCAGGACAATCAAGGGAACAATGTTGCTGGAGATTGATATAAACCTTCGTCTTCTTAAAAAGTATTGAAAGAATTGCATTTCTTTTGCATTTCCAAGCCAGTTAACCCCAAAAGATATTCTGTCACTGACTTTAAGTTTTAAGGTTTTATTTGATAAGTGTTTTTTAGATATAGATTAGAGTATTTTCCCTCGTGACCCTGCCCCTTTTTCTGGTGAAAACACTCACTGTCATTTGACCAACCCGGTATCACGGCAAGACGTGAACATGTGACGATTTACCATGCTGGGAGTAGGGTTGCAAAGGGGCTCAAAGTTTCCATGGGAAGCTAAGCTGGGGAGTTTTGGAAATATTCGATGCAAAATTAAACAAAAAAACATGACATTTCAACAGAAATGTTTTTTTCAAGTAGAACAGAACAAGTTTTAATTATTTTATTGAAGA